TTTTAAAAGTCAAGTCGACTTGTAAAAGACGCTTTGCGAACACAGCTGCAAGGCCTTTTATTTCGAAAAGCTAAGCAAATACGGTGTTATCGAAACCAATAACACTTCCAAAGCGCTCGAACAATGCAAAACTAGCACAACCAAACGCTGATGACCAACGAAAATTGTACCTATAACCTCTAAGAAAAGAAACAGAAAAAAGAAACAAAAACAAACTCCTTGAAAAAAGAATGCCACGCCTGCCGCAGGTGCAGGCGTTTTAGCATCGGGGGCGTTTTTTTATCGGGGGGCGTTTTATCATCCTCGAAGGGAGGGCCTCTTAAAAAAATACAGTGTTTTAACGTCCACAATATTTATGGTTTATGAGACATTTGCAGCGCACCAGAACATGGTCTATTCCACAGGGGAGCAATGCCGCTTCAACCCTATTGGCCGTAGTGTCTAACGGTGGCGGCCATATTGCGCAGACCAGGAACCGGCTGCCGCCTGTGTTGAGGAATAGGGAATTCGGGACCTCGATTTACGTTTGCGGCCGCCGCATCCGTTACGTTCAAGTTACGTAGATACGGAACCCGGCATCTTACGCAGAATTGAATGGGGAACACGATCGTATCTTCAGAATTCCTCAAATTCACTCGCCGGACCTACATTTGCCCCGGCCGAAGGGGTTGATTGAACCCACCTCGCTAATGCGCCGCTAATTAAACTATAATTAAGCGGTAAAGTGGTCGTATGCGGCAAAGTATAATGCAAAATGACTGGTAGGAACCCGCTGTAAAGGTCTCAGGTCAACCGGTGACCTCTGAGGTCAGGTCAAGTGATCTAAGGCATGGGTTCGGTTTTTGGTTAATAACTTCGCCAAAAATGGCCGTAGAGCCGCGATTTTGGAACCATCGTGTTCAGCTAGCTCAGGCGCATCGAGTGATATACTTTTTGTTCGGGTCAGGTCAACTTAGGGTGTTGACCTCAGGTCAAGGTCAGGTCAGCACCCCCAGGTCACGAAGTTGGTCGAAAGAGGTCATGCCGCATATCATTCGATTCGGCAGGTCTTCCTGAGTCCATTGGTGGCTTTCCCGACTCGCTAGCTCAATTTGATCGGGAGTTATTGAAGAAAAATTGTGACACTTGTGACGTCACAAATGACGTCACGCAAGGGCAACAATGCAAATATGAAGCATAGAACCTTGCAAGGAGTGCATGAAATCATGATTCTATATGCTTGAGATAGTTTCAGATCATTCTCGGCGCAAATATAGCAATTTTCATATTTCCCCATTGACTTATAAGGGTTTAACGTATTAGTTCCTTGTAGCTGAGGATTTTTTAGGATTTCATCTTGTTCTCCACTCAATTCTGCGTAAGATGCCGGGTTCCGTGTCCACATAGCTTGAACGTAACGCATGCAGCGACCGCAAACGTAAATCGAGGTCCCGAATTCCCTATTCCCCAACACAGCCGGCGGCCGCTTCCTGGTCTGCGCAACATGGCGGCACCGTTGGACACCATCTGGCGGCCGATGCGCATTCCACATTATAGAGTTCAGTGGTCTATTCTGAAGCTAACATGTGACAATTTCGATGAGAAAAGCTTGCATTTGATAGCCATTGTTTTTTCAGATATATAAGGGTGATAAAGATGCATATATCTAGCAAGTAAAGGGGCAAAACAGAAACAGGCTTACCAAAAGTCGCTGCGACGCACCTGATACCTCAGGTTTCGTGAGTTGTTGTTTCAAGAGGGCTTCTGCTTTACAAGAACATTAAAAAATAAATAACATTATTGGTTTGGTAAAAAAAGCGATGGGGCCTCTTACCGACCCTGGGCGTCTTACACGGATCTCCCCTATACTAATGCATATAATTTGTTAGGGATGTTTTGCCGCACGGATGCAAAAAAGAAAAACGAACCTACTGCTTGTGGAACTTCCTGTGGGCATAAAAAACGATGAAATCGGGCCAAAAATCAAACGGGAGCAGACCGCAAGCCTGATGTCCTCTACTCAGCCCAGTGCCCATCTCAGACCCTTCCAAATCCCCGCTGATGTTCCGATAGGCGGAGGAGATTAGAATGACTGACGGGTGTCTCCGCCAGCATACCATCTGGGCCGCTCCTGTTCCCCGTTCCCAGTCAGCTTCACAAATATCGCTCAGCAGTCAGTGAATCAGATGCAGCCGCGGTATTACCAGCTGTGATTTTGGAGTCCGCTCTCTGCCGTATCCGGGTTGGGAGGGGGTCACCAGGATGTTTCGCGCGCGGGGTGGGGGGAGTCGGCGAGCCTGGGAACCCGGTGACTACCGGATCTGGCCGGTATTTTTGTTACCGGGGAAGGCTCGGTGGAGGGGAGCGCTCGGTCAGGTGTGCGGCGGGATAGGGGTGAGGTGGGGTGAACCAGGTCACGGGGTCAGTAAACACCGTGCCTCCCCACTGACCCGGCGTCGGCGCGACGCGCCGGCACAGCGCACCGTCACACAGTTCCGCATTCCCGCGAGCGCCCTCAGATGACAAAACACCATTTAAAAGGAGCGGGTCGACCGCCGGCTGTGAGCCCTCCCCCTCCTCTTGGGTCAGCTGGGAAGAGGAGGAGGGGTGCAGAAATGACCGACAAATGCGTTCCCCGGGTCAGGCTAACAATCCATCAGGATGTGCCGTTCGAGCGACGGGACGGGCGCAGATTCAAACCGGAGCCGGACGGCCAAAACACGGAAAATCACCGCCCAGCGGGGAACTGACACCCGAGCGGCGACAACAGCTGGTGCCCGGCTGACCCAACGGGGCATGGCACAGGGGTGACCCGACAACTGGTATGGGGGTGACACGACCGCACGCTGGGGCTGGGAGAAGGCTGACGCAACCACGGGCACAGGGGAGATGCCTGACCCCATCAGATATGAATTGTTACATTCCGCCAATATTCGATGGAATAGGACTCCAGGTACTAATCGCATTAAAAATACTGCGGAGGTGTTTCGCTGGCCCGACATTAGAGGTTACCGGTTGACCTGGGCCCTTACATTTAACAGCACTCGAGCTTTGTCTGGTTAAAACACTATAGGTCGATTTTCGCCGTTAGATGCAACTTTGTCAGAAACAGACAAAACAATTGTGAGACGAGAGATGAAAAGAGGACGGGGACGAAAGTCAGCCATCAATGCATCAGCAATGACGAGAGGGTAAAGTGGCGGTGTCACCGGCGAAATACGAATGCTCATAAAGCATGATGGCTCTGAATTGTAATTGAATTATACTAAAACTTTTCGCTCCTACACCAAGAACGATTATAAGTCCGGTGAACCGGTGAACATAAATCCGGTGAACGGCGAAACAGTAACGTTAAATGTTAATAAAAAAACGTTTTTCTTGTGTCATCATGGCTTGTCATCCACTGCCCGCGCCGTGGAAGGTGCAGGCTGTAGGGCAGCGGAATCACAGCACACCCGACCCTTTCTGATTGTGATTTACAGCAGCAAAAGATTAGAGAGCTTCAGGATTTTGGACGAGCTCCGGAACATCGTTTACTGCGGTCTGCATGTCAATACGTGGGCTGTGAGCAGACCTAGAGGATGCGTAGTGGAGCCCCCCCCCCCACGCTGTGTTACAATCGGATCGTCACGGCGCAGGTTGGTGCGATATCAGTGACACCAATTTATTTCAAATGTATCAGATGTATCAGTGAAAAACAATGTAGGGTTTCCTCCGTTTATTACCATTATATGGCTCACAAATATGGACGGACATCACATGTCATACGCAATGAAAGCCCTGCAATAGACTTCCACCATATCCCCACACCACCTTATTTTCCCTTGTTGTCACCGAATATAAAGCACAGGTAACAGCAACCCCATCGGAACAAATACCCATTTGAGCACACTATGCGGAAAACAAAAGCCAGGCCCACGACAGCATTTAGCAACGTGCGTATACCCACCCGTAACAACACCACACAACGATGACCAACAACACACTTCTATGTAAATAAAGGACGAAAGGCGTTTTCCAGAAAGAGGTGCTTCATAGACTTCTACGTTGTCATATAAAAATATCGTTCATTTCTTATTATATTGCACACATACCAATATATTGTATCGATAAGATACTTAGAAATAGAAAGTAAAAAACACCACCATTCATAACAACCAGTATAGCGCCTTTTGCGGCGACTAACGGAGCGAGCGAGAGGGTGGGCCTTGCACGTGCGAAATTTCGAGGGGGTACCTCCAACTGACTTGTGCACGGCACCCTACTAACTGGTCTCTAGCGATGTGCCAAATTTGGGCACAATCGGCCCAGCCGTTCTCGAGATCTGGAAGCGGCACTCTGCACGTGCGCACGTGCAAAATGGGTCCCAACTGACTTTTGCACGGCACCCTACTAACTGCTCCGTAACCGTGTACCAAATTTGAGCGCAATCGGTCCAGCCGTTCCCGAGATCTGGAAACGACCCCTGCACGTGCGCACGTGCAGCAGCACCCCAACTCTGGCACATGTATATGCAGTGCCTAGTGGGTGCCTACCTACATGCCAACTTTCAGCGCAATCGGCCAAGTAGTTACCGAGATATTGCAACAATTACAAAACTGACACCTCTTCGTTTTGCACGTGGCACGTGCATAAGGGGTCACCCACATGCATCGGGAATAGTCCAATACTTGGTAGAAGGAATGAAGCTCCCCTACAAAAATTACCGCGCGTAAATCGGTCAAGTGGTTGCTGAGATATAAGCCTCGCAAAAGCGTGACCACGGCCGGCCGGCCGGCCGCTCATACTCAGAAATTTCCGTTAATCTAAGGAAAGACTACGCTCGCTTCGCTCGCTCCGTAATTATCATATGTTACCTACCCCATAAAACGGCATACATATAAAGTAAACGAAACCGTAGAAATTTTTGACTGCCACTTTCTTTCTATGTAACGTCAGCTTTGCAAATCAGTATCGCACCACAAAAATATCGCATATGGGAGATTTACATTTAAATTATGCAACAATAAAAACAAATATAAATTAGGAATGAGAGCAGCCATGCAACACGTCTGTAATATCTGGCCCGGTTGAGATTCGTTCTTTTATCACAGAGGCGAGGTAGAAACTCCGTACATTAGGATAACTTCGTGCCATGGCATATTTTGCGTTTCACTTGACTACTTCACTACGGACGCTACGTGGAATGACTTGGTGGATTTTCCGTAGATTTGATAGATTTGACACTTGGGTAGATTTTCCGACCTCCAGGTGAATCGTGAAGCTCGCGAAGCAGTAGCGATGGATGCAAATATAAGAAGTCATATTTCGTTACGTATGGTTACGTTAAGCTCGTAATGTCGCAAATGTCGTTTGTTCGCTTTGGTCAATGGTCATGATAAAATCACTGGTAAACTGCATTGAAACAAGTGCAGATCAAGCTGCTAGTGGTGTTGCTGACCTGGTATTCCCTGTTGTAGCACAGGAGCTCCTTGCTGTGCCGGGATTCCGTGCTGCTGTGCCGGGATTCCTTGTTGTTGTGCCGGGATTCCATGTTGTTGTGCCGGGATTCCGTGCTGTTGTGCTGGGATTCCGTGCTGTTGTGCCGGGATTCCATGTTGTGAGGGAGCTGCCTGCTGTTGCACGGGAGCTCCATATTGTTGCTGGATAGGCGCCGCTTGCTGAGGCGGCGGGGCGCCGTACTGTTGTTGGCCGGGCACCACTTGCTGTGGCACGGGAGCCCCGTGCTGCTGTGGTGGAGCCCCGTACTGCTGCTGTGCGGGCACTCCGTGTTGTACGGGGACTCCCTGCTGGTACGTGCCCTGGTGCTGCTGGACAGGGACGCCCTGCTGCTGGAGCGGTATACCCTGCTGCTGGCTGGCGTACAGCTGCTGCTGCTGCGGCTGTCCATGCTGCTGCTGCTGGTGGTACGGCTGCGGCGGGTTTCCAATGGGCAGGCTCAGCTGCGGCTGGTCAGGGTGTCCCTCAGGATGGTCGTCATGGTGCTCCTCCGAATCGTGGTGGTCCTCCTCGCCCTGGAAAAATAATACATCGACTAAGTACAGCAGCCTGAAATACTTCACACAACACTTCAAGTAACAGGAATGGCCTCAACCGTTTTTACGACGCAAAACTGGACGTGATATCAAATAAAACATTCCAGGAGGTTACATGTTATCGCAGCTAACATGGTCCGCACGTATCATATGGCAAAGTGTAAACACGCACGAAATATATCTGTATGTGACAAAACTTGGCGAGGAATAATAGTTCAATCAAGAAACCACAGGAACTCAAATTTTCCCATGGCTATGCGGATACATTACAATTAAACGTGAAAGTGGCAGCCGATCAGTGCAGGGGGCGCCACTGTCTGGTCAAAAGCACCCGCAAAATGTTGCTGAACAAATGCACGCCATCTAGCTCACTCAGTGATCACGAATTATCAGATAACCGATGATAAGGCCCCACCTCGCACCACCACCCCACGCACATCCACAGTTCACGCATGACTCCTAACGAAAACAACGGGCACTGCGTACACAGGGGTTTTGGGCCATTCATTAAGGCTGGACCGGGACGTGGACAGAGCACCCGGGCCAGCGCGACTCACCAGCTCTTCTTCACGGTGGTGCGCGTACTCGTCAAACTCCTTCTGTTCAAACTCGTGCTCGCGGTCCGGAATGCCTTCCCAGCCCTGGTCGTGCTTGTAGTCCTCGTGTTTAGTACTGGCCATAAACTCTTCCAAACTGCCGGCGAAACAGACGCAGGACGGTCAGTGAGAGGTCAAAAGTGGATAAGGCCGTAAGTAGCAAGAACGCTAAAACACATCAATGTCTGTCAGCTCAAGAGAACACTGAAATACGTCCTGTCACTACCAGAGCAGGGCACTGAAATACGTGGCTGTCAGCTGTCAGTTGTCACTAGCTTAAACATAGAAATACGCGGCTGATGCCCATGGAACAGCTGCTGATCTCCAATTGAACACCGAAAGACAAGGCCGTCATGACTTCTAGATGGCGCTGTAAGACGTCAGGGTCGTCACCAGCAGGGCACTAAACTACTCGATCAAAGTCGGCGATCTGCATTGGCGTGCACTGAAAGACAAATTCATTTCTGTTCATACCATTAAATGTGGACGTGTAGACACAACAAACGGCAATAACTAGAAGCTGAGCAAGTACGCTCAGACATTTATCACGTAATGCAAATGAGAAATACTCTGCCAAGTAAGCGTTCGGCACATCAATAGCAAATTTTTACATATTATTTGGAAGAACACGACAGCGTAAGCTTCCTGATCAGCTTCCTAGGAGAGCCCCCAACGCCGCTTACCTAACTCAGTCCAATGTCGCTTACCCGAGTGCGCTTACACGAGTCGCAATGCCGCTCACCTGATAAGTCCGTCCTGGTCCGTGTCCACCTCCTTGTAGGTAGTCTCGCGCATCTGGTTCATCTCCTCCTCCCGCTCGCGCGGGTCGGCGTCACTGCTGTTGTACAACTTGTCCAGCTCGCTCTTGAAGAGTGCCATCGTCTCCACCGGGTCCAGCTGCTCGTTACCGTCCACGTCTGCGGGAAAGGCACGGCGTCAGGGCGGAGAGGGGCATCAGTGCAGGGCAAAAAAGAACGGAACGGGGCGTCAAGACAGGGGAACGCCAGGACAGTGTAATTAAGTGCCATAGCGTCAGGACAGGAAAACGTCAGTGCACAACAGAAAAACAGAAAGGAACAGCGTCAAGGCTGGGGAGAGAAACAACGGAATAGCGTCAGTGAAGGCTGGAGAAACAGAGCAACACGGCATCAGTACAGGGCAGAGAATCAGAACAGGACGGCGACAGGGCGGGGGAGTGAAACAGAACGGGGCGGAGTCACGAAAGGACAGTGTCAGGACGTCTGGACCGAGTCAGTACGGGACAAGGCACGGTATGGTAGCATGAGGGGGGGGGGGGAGAGTCAGGGCAGACTGCAAAGCAAACAAGGGACGGCGCTAGGGCAACAAAACACCCTCTCATGGACCTACATAATTCGGTCTAGCCGTTCTACGAAAAAAAAACTAAAACGTTTACTAACTCGTTTAATTTATCGATGAAAAACTTGCAAAATATCTTCCACGCCTCGTAACGCATTCACCCATACTTCCAGCGCGTTTCACCCGAGCCCGAAGCGCTGCTCACCGTGCATCCTGAAGAAGGTTTCCGGGTCGAAGCTGTCCTTGTCCATGTGATCCTGTTCCTCCCACACCTCCTCCAGCTGGTCCTCGCTGAGAGGATGGTGCACCTGACGAGGAACGTGCAGGGGAGCACGCGTCATTCACAGATCCCGACACTGAACCTTGGCTGGTCATATCACTCGGAGAGTAAGATAAAAGGACGCCATTTAATTGCGTCCCAGAAAAGCTATTTCTGGCACCTAAAAGCTGACTCGCCCCAAAATTGGTCCTCAGCACCTATTTGGTGGATACCAGCACCAATCACGGAAAATGACCTTAATTAGCTGTTTCTGGCACCTATTCATCGGTACGCCTTACTCTTTTTTTCTGAATCTGGCACCTAACTGCTGAGCGTAGCACCAATCTAGTAGAAAAATGAACTACTGGCTGGTAGAATCATGTTGTTCTGGTATAATGACCCCTGGAGTCTAGCCCAAAGGTTGCCAGTGCAGCTACACTCTAAGACAGCCCCGTAGTGATCTCAGCATTGTATATGACGTTTAAGTAAGCAAATAATATTGATTTGTTTGAAAAAAACAATGTCATTTAAATATTTAAAAGCATTTATTTGTAATACTTAAAGGCAAACATTTTTGTGAGTAATTGTCTCGATTTTGACCATTAAAACGGGTATTGTATTTTTTGACGTCATCAAATAGCTCCAAAAAAGAAATGTAATGTTTTCATTCCGTTCAAGGCCGCTGAAGAAACGCGGGATCTTGCGTGGGACATTGTCCGTTGTTTGCCGCGCAGAGTTGTGCCGTGGTTGTGCCTTTTTCATCCGTTTCTTACTTATGTCATATGTGTGCATGAAGCTTTGATTTTGTTTTTGGTTATTGTGTGGCCGGTCAGTCAAACGCCCCTGTAGAAACCGGATGCTGCGTTTGATCGAGATGGAGTCAGACGATGATTGCAGAAAGCTAATAATATTGAAAAGAGAGCCGGTTGCGTGGCATGTCTGTTCAGAGTTGACATTTTGCTTTACTCCAGTTTATGACCTGAGAGCCTGGCTGGAAGTGACGGATCCAAACTTTTCACGTTAAAATGGCTGAGGGTGCAATAATCTCTAGTCTTCTATACATAGCGGGCTGGTATAGGAGCGTCTTGCTATGCTGCACCATAGCTGGCTAGTGATTCTCTTCTGGCTAGAAATGGCATTAATCATTATCTCCACTGGCGAAAATGGCACTTGACATCACCGAATGCAACGTTCATGTTTGTTAGGATACATAAAATCAGGAAGATTACGCGAATTAGGTAGGCAAACGTGGAATAAAATAGGTGCTGGATGTTTTGGTTTTGGTGCTGAATCAGCAAACAGCAAATACGGAGTTCAACTAGACGATCTGGCAACTTTAGGCTGTGTGGAAGCAATTAGGTGCCAGATTCAGATATTAGGGTCGAATAAGCATTTTGGGGCTGATCAGCAATTAGGTACCAGAAACAGCTTTTTAGGGACCAGAAACAAATATTCCCCAAGATAAAATAGGAATCGCAGACCTGCGAACACCTGCAATCATTCTGAACAGCTCCAACGCCTATTCACTACGTCAGGGCCGTTCAGTGCAGTGTCCCAAAATTTGTCAATTTGGCTGCCGGGTGGAACAAAACATCCAAATGAAAATAATTTTCCACTCCCACCTCCAACTTTCAAGAGCAATTTACCACTCATGAAAGAGCATCTGCTTGCATTATTGCATCAGATTCTACCATTGTACAGAAGTGTGCAATCTTTCCTTCTTCTGTACTTTATTTTCAGGGGGGGGGGCTAATCTTATCAAGAATATACCACCCTCGTCCCTCATCCCTTTTTTGGAGAGGAATTTTCCCCTCTAACACCCAAGCATTAATATAACTTTGTGACACTGGTTCAGTGAATAGACGACCCTGACGTCGCCTATTCAATGAACGACTGAATATTTGCGATGTATTTGCATGTATTTATTTATATTCATTCACAGCTGACGATGGTGTTAATACACCGAAACCGGTCTGACTACTATGAATTCTATTCACTAATCAACTTAGGCTGGTGAATTTAAGTCATATAGCTCGAACTACAAATGGGTATGCAGGCTTCGGACTGTAATTAAGTTACATTAACAGGGTTATTGTTTAGTACTCACCTTTTCATGTTGTTTATGCGTCTTCACCTCCTCTTCATGTTTCTTCTCGGCCTCTTCTCGGTGCTGTTTGTCCATCTTCTTTAACTCCCGGGTACGGTTAAATTCCTTTTCCATTTCATACTTCTTGAACTCGTCATGTCGCTTGCGGTCCAACTCTTCAAGGTCGTGAGCAGTCTTGATAAAAAGGACGATTAAATTTGAGGAAGGAAATCACGGTCCTGACTCCTGACTGCTGTTTCTTATCCAGATTCGCATTTATTTTAGTATTTAAAGTGAATATTAAAAAAAGAGTCTCAAAATAATTCACGTAACCCACTACAAGGCATTATTCAAATATGGTATTTATAATTTGAAAAAAAATATTTTGTTTCTACTGATAGTGTTAAATTGTCATCAATATGGAAAAAGAAAGTCATATATGCTTCAAAAATCATTCAAACTACAAAAAATCGATTGCATTGACGCCACCGATTTTAGTTTATTGGTTTTCCACTCTTTCGTTAGAGGCTGTCTTTAACTTTGAATCAATTTCACCAATAAGGATATTCTGGGAAAACCAATGTGAGTACCTCTTCGGTAAGACATAATAAGCTTATCATCAACGCGAGTGTCCCTGGTAGCGGTATTATCTGGTGTTGTTCAGGGCTGGACGGGAACATCAGGATCATCAAGTCACCGGGGCTGGAGGATTATGGTGTGCCAGTGCGCCTACCTTTCTGACCAGTCGGCGCAGGTCCTCCTCCCGGAAGGTGTGCGGGTTCCGGTGCTCCAGATGCAGCGGCTCCTTGATGGCCTCGCGGTCCAGCCCGTTGGACAGCTCGTAGGCCTCGGTGGCCTTCCGCCGCAGCCGCTCCAGCTCTATCCGTTTGAGTTCGTCCAGTCGGGAGCGGATGGACGGGTCGACCACGTGCAGTTTGTCGGCCACCGCACCCGACTGTGGGGGGGGGGGGGGGAGGGGGAGGCTAGTCAGAACATAGTGCACTGCGAATTATGTTCAGGAAGAGATCCTGCGGTTTTTCCTACTCCAGCGAAACTAGATATCCCCCTTCATATTCATTCATCTTTTGTGTGAACGAAGAATGGCGTCTTTTTATGAGGAGACAAAACATGAACTGATGGATATTTATCGATGAATGCATAGGGCCAATACAAACATAAATATCCACTTAACAAATTGCAATTATCAAATGGATATGATGGTCATGCATGCAACCATTGGTGTTCGATTTTCGATTACACAACTAGTCGACAAAAAAATTGCTGCTATTCTTGGGTAAAAAAAAAACTCCGTCCGTCGCGAATCGTGTGGTCATTCAAAAGATCGTTGGAAATGATCGCAAGATCTATGATAGCAAGATACCAGGACAGATAGGTCAGCAGAACGGCCTTCAGTCACCGCAGCCATCCATCCGATTTCCCCGGTTTCTCCACGTGCGAAGTCCGTCGTTCTGCGTGGCCTCTCGCCGTGACGTGACCTCGTGCTAGTCCACGTGTCCTTGCGGCGCTGCACTGCGGTCCGCTCCGGTGCCGACGAGTCTGACATTTCGGGTGACAGCTACCGGGCCGTCAGCCGTCTCTGCGCGCACCCCGCGGGCAGCCGACTGGGCCCGGGGGCTCGGGAGCACGCCAGCCGCCCAATGTATCGTGAAAGACCGATTCAAAGTTACAGTTAGAGACGCTGGTTCAATAAGTGATAACGACTTGAGGAATTTTGAAGGTACCCACTGCAAGACATACCTCATTTCAACACAAAAGAACAAAGCACTCTCCGGTTCTTCAAAGCGTCAAAAGTCGCGATAAAAGATTTTGATAACTATCGATGATACTTAGCCGGTAGATGGGGTCTGGTCTTACGAGCAGTCAGCGATGAAACAAGTCACCCTCCCCTCGCTGATTGATTTATTGGGATTTTACGGCTCTCCGCTTGATCATCCGTTTACCGACTCTGTCGGTCGTCTCTGGTATATAATCCTACAGACAATAATTGGACCCTCCGCTGACAAACCGCATGGGCCAGCAAAGGGACAATTCCCGCCCCGTCTGTCTAAACACCGGACTTTTATGACACCAAGGGCCGGCCCTCGTGGTGGTGCCATAAACAACCGGTTTGTAAACTGAAATGTCTCACTCGATTCCGAGTTACTGCCGCAAGAGATAGGAGAGAGCCGCCGCCGCCGCCTCTTGCACCGTGGGGTCGCACTCGCAGTGAAATATGACATTGAAAGCGCACCTTCTTACAATTTAAAAAAAAAATGATGTAGGGGCAGTGGAGTCCGCAAATACTCGCACGGTCCCAAACGCCTCACATGTCCAAAAGCCAGGATAACAGCATAGCAGCTGCTTACAGGGTAAAGAATCGGCAATAATAACTATCACCGAACGCCGATGACCGACCGACACCATGTGTCGTGTGTCGAACAATAGGAGCAGCGTGGCTTCATCTCCATCTCAAATGAGCTCACACTTCATCTCAGTTGCACCATTCATTCTAAAACTAAAACCTGAAAAGTAAATTATGTATAATGATTCGGTCACTTACCTTTATTTCTTGTTCTGTCGCATTATCAAGTATAACTTTAAACTGAGGATCCTCTTCTAGTACTTTGACGATCTCTTCTAAGTAGCTTCTGTACTCCAAGCCCAGAGTCTGCGAGCGAAAGATCCAAAGGTGGTAAGAAAATCAAGGTGTTTTAAAATCAGCGATAGATGAGCGGCATTGCGATCCGATGGTCTCCGAGCACTGCATTCCCCGTCTCGACGTAAAATAAATAACTGTTGTGTTCCGAGACGAATACGAAAAAGGCGAACATGCAAACATGACAGCTTTTGGTGAACGCTAGCCGTCAATGACTACCGTCGCCAAAGTAAGTGGATAACGATAGGGCTGGATATCCCGACACATCGACACCGATGGAGGCTGGAGACAAGCTCTCTACAGACGAAAAGAAGCGGACATCAACGCATCCACCTCTCATTCTTTCATTGCGCATCCCCTACCGCAGGTGTCGGTGGGGTGTCGGCTGAGACAGGCCATTGGACCGAGCTGCGATCATTGTGCCACATTTATAAAGACTTGTCACAAATTTCGTCATGAGTTAAAATTTCAGATTCAGAACTCCCATGACATTGCAACAATATAAGAGCATAGAAACAAATATCTAGCCAAAATATCATTATATTTCCTATAAGATACCTAAAAAATGTTTATGCAATTAGCAAAACACATACATTACTCATCTCATTTCAACCCCACATTTTAAGTACCAAGCTTTCAATAAGCAGACTATCTTTAAATATAACCATACTGCTTATTAAATGTTACTGTCATATCTTCTCAGCAGGCATATACATAAACACTTCACGTAGGTCACAAATCTGCATTACTTTGCGCATCACACATATGAACTGCGATTTGACTTACAGCCTCATTGAGGTTTGGGTCATCATCTGGGGCTGGTTTGGGCTCTGGCTGCTTTCTTGGAGGAGGGGCAACTACACTGCAGGTGAATGCCAGGAGTGCAGAGGCAGATATTACCCAGTGGAATCTTGCCATGTTGACCTGAAAACCAAGCAGTCAGCACATGTAAAATGAATGAGTAATGCATTCAAACAAATACAGCAGAACATATAGTTTGGTGAATGAGGTCACCAATTTGGGTCAGGTCACAGAGGTCCAATCACTAAGGGTCACAATATGAAGCATGAACCAACTATACTAGGGCCATGTGATACATGTTGTATGGTCAGTTTTACATTTCAAATTCAATGATGTAGGTTAGGCGACCATTGGGGTCAGTTAAGGTTACTGATTCTGGTCTAGGTCAGGTCAAGGTCAGGTAAAGGGTTCGAAGCGCGACGGGCGCTTGACGTTTAGGGGCCTCCCGACAGGTATGGTTGCGGTTGGTTTGGTGGCAGGCATAGCCAGGCAAAGTCAGTAGGGGACTGGCCGTGCGCGCAATGTGTGCACGTTAAACTTTGGACTCCGGGCCCAGTGACCTGACCTCTGTGACCTGACCTGGTATCAGTGACCTCAAATAACAAAATATGTGTTTGGAGAACATTTCCCCATCGATGATTTTCAATGAAATGCATTTTACTCGATTTTACAACGCATTTCTTGAAATGCCTGTAAACGGTGAAAATTCGACCTTTGACCTGACCTGTGACGTCATCGGTTTGACCGAGGTCAATGAAATTGGGTCACAAGGTAGTTCCCCGTTGGGGCTATCCAACGCCGTTTACCGCTTGTCGCTATGTTGCGTGGTTCTCGAGATCTTAGGGGGGCCAAAATGTCCCCCCCCCATCAGACCGCGTTGCTCGGCAGACCACATCAGGGCGCGGGTAAATCTATGATGGATTTTTTATGTAACTTTAAAATCCGATGATTTCTTGTCACAACTTAGGTGGGTACTGTTTGACCTTACGTCATCTTTTCAAACACATAGCATCTTCAATGCAAATTGGCAATCTTTCACACGTCAACCTCTATTTTGAATCGATTGATAAGGGTGAAAAACGCATGAAGAGACTTATGTATCACATTTAAATCATGTGCATATTCATTCTTATTCTCCAAGCATAGGTAGGGGAGAGTGGGGTGGGTTGTATCAGTTTTTACTCCGAGACCCATAACCTCGTAACTATCCGTGATAAACTCATTATTTCCATACTATCCTCTTCCTTGATTCTTCTGCTTTTTTGTGCAAAGTAACTTTTCCGCTACCTCTACCAGTTTTTATTCTACGGTCTGCCGAATAGAACAATGTTTTTGATACAACTTGCCCCATGGCTTGGGTGAGTTGTATCACATGGTGGGGTAATTTGTATCACTATTTCACGTTTCAGGGAGTGTGCTTGTTACTGGTTTTGAACATAACAGCAACATTAAATGGGGTTAATACAATGTATAGGTATGCTCAAAGGCTTCACTTTATTAGACCAAACTTAGGTCAATGCAATCCGAACGAAACATCAACAGACTAGACGCAAAAGTGGCCCGTTAAGAGCAAAGAAGCCAACACATTGTGCCGAAATGGAACGAGCATTGACTAGCTACCTACAAACGCGAGCCAGGGCTTAGCTTTCGCGATCAAAAGCAACATACCCATACATACATACATACATAAATATATGTTACAACATACCCCACCCGGCTCTGATACAACATGTACCTAGCCGCCATCTATGAAAAAACATCCTCGTGCTAAACAAACAGCGGACAGCTGGAGAAATCCGTTTTCACTCATGCAGCCTTAGAACCTACCCTCACCACCGCTACGGAGATCTTTCAAATTCGTGCACATCTAAATGCCCAAAACACACATTTTCTTGCAACTTATTTTTTTAGAATGACATTAAAAAAACATAAAATCGGCTCTCACCTCGAGACGCGTCCACTCAGCCACAAGACAGAACAGGGAAAGATGGCGCCCGGAAAACCTCGTCGGCTGGTCGTGTCGCGAGCGCCATCCATTGGATAAGTTTGGCACAATTCGCCCTGATACAACTTGGACATGATACAACTCTCCCCGCTCTCCCCTACAATTTGGTGCGTCAAGGGAGGTCAAACACGCCCAACGCCGTTCAGGAAAACGAGTGACTAACAACAATGTAAATGTCCGCCGGACATTTACGACAGTCCGACAGTCCGCCGGTCCGCCCTTTGAATGCGGATAAAGAACGCACTACGACTGGGCGAATTTCGAGACTGGCCAAAAGCAATCACAGCCCGCTCCCAATATCCCGCTTGCAGTGCCCCTCCACCAGGCCATAGGAGGACCAGCACAGTACACAATGTATCTGTACATTATCTCACTTGCATTATATACTATTTCGCTTGCAATGTGCCCTTTCCGATCAAAGCGTGTGCCCTATGCCACCTTTGGGACGCAGTGAAAAATCCTTAAAATATGCCCTGGACTCCAAATTCTGCCATAGAACCGGCGATCGGAGGGTAGAGAGCAGAATGAACGCAACAAGCTTCGCTCTGTCCTTGTCAATCCTTCCATTCAAAAGGTTCTGACTAAATAAAAAAAAAATCCTGAAAGTGTCTAGCACAGTACGGTGGCGGATCCAGGAAAACTCCGGGGGGGGGGGGCATGAATCGAAGTGGTGCCCCTACCTATACCTAAAATTAAAAACTTAACGCATTTCGGCCCTTCATTTTGATGGTGCCCTATTTTCAGTTTTTTTTTTAAATTATTTTTGTGTGTGTTGCCCCTGGTGAGCCTGTGGTGCCCCTGCTAGGCCGCAAGTGCCCCTGACAGGTTTGTGGTGCCCCTGGAAGGACTGTGGTGCCCCTGACAAGCCTGAAGTGCCAACGACAGGCCCGCAGTGCCCCTGACAGGCCCATAGTGCCCCTGACAGGCCCATAGTGCCCCTGACAGGCCCATAGTGCCCCTGCGAGGCCGGTGATGCCCCTTCTAGGCCGGTAGTGCCCCTGGCAGGCCTGTGATACTCCTGCTAGGCCGCTGGTGTCCCTGGGCCCTGACAGGACTGTGGTGCCATTGACAAGCCTGAAGTGTTCCCGACAGACACGTGGTGCCCCTGACGGGCCTAAGGTGCCCCTGCGAGGTTTGTGGTGCCCCTGCGAGGCCTGTGGTGCCCCTGCTAGGTCTTTGGTGCCCCTGGCAGGCCTGTGGTACTCCTCGAAGGACTGTGGTGCCCCTGGGGTCTGACAAGCCTGAGGTGCCCTTGCCAGGCCTGTGGTGCCCCTGACAAGCCTGTGGTGGCTGGTGCCCCTGGTGAGCCTGTGGTGCCCCTGCCGTGGTGGTGCCCCCCGGGAGGCCCAAGGGGGGCCATGGCCCCCATGGCCCCCCTGGATCTGCCACTGGCACAGTACGTAACATTAAGGTCAAGATAGGGGACAGCAGAGGGTCATCAGGGAGGACAACCTGATGGTGCACCCAATAGGTGGAACCAAGGGTATGCTCTCCTGCCTTTCAAAATTACAAAAAGTGGACACTTACGCTAGCGCTGTAGCACAGTGGGCATTCTAATTAAACAACAAATGCAGTAATCCCACCAATCAGCATAAGACAATACTTCAATACAAACAAAATTCTCAATATACAATACTTAACTTATACCTAACTTAGACAATACTTAAAATAAAACAAATTTCTCTATCCTAATTGACCTTCATCCTCCCAACACCAATCCTGTCCCCTAGTGAGAATCCTAGCCACACAAACCAACCATAACAATGCAACCCATCGATCAAAGTAAAAGTAAAAGTTTAAGAACTCAAGGAGGTGCCGATACAAAGGCTAAACCTCCGATAACCATCGCATCGCATCGCACTTCACGCTGATTGGCTGATGAGCTAGTGACAATTTTAAAGGGCCAGAGCGTTAGAGGTAACCTATGGCAACTGGCTGTTCAGTTTAGGACTTGATTTTGACATTATTTAGGCCTAAGCTCAGCCTGCCTGATAAAAACTCTGATCGTTTATGAAAACTGTGATTCATTCTTGTATTGGACCAACAAATCTTTTAGCTTTTTTTAACAATTCGTTGAAAAATGACTTATTAAAGGCGTACCTACTCATACCAAATTTGCCCTGTTACCATGGCAACCTGAGTTTGCTTGGCTCCCAGAGTCACTCTTACTAATAGTGAGACTGTGAGAGTGACTCTTATGCTCATATCGCGGAATATAATATATGAAGTCAACGACAGACTATGCCTTGGACTATATATTCGTGCTCATACTTACGAATTACGATAACCCCGCAATGGCGATACGGGCCCTCCGGACAAAACTTGGACAAAACAAACGAGTGACCGATTGTTTTCAAATAGGATTTCATTTGCACGTCGACAGATCAGCTGTTTTATTATTTTATATCGGAACTATTTCACACATCCGCCATAGAAACGTTGAATGATCATTTATATCTAATATAACGTATTTTGAAGAATACAACAGTAATCAACTGCCTTTTATCAATTTCATGTATATAATTAGGCATATTCTAGCTAAAAAGTCAGGTAAAAAATGAAAATCAAGCCAGTATTTGAAGAAAAAAATAGATTTAAGAAAACTAATGGCAATTTTGTCGGGTAGTAAAAGTTACGATCTGGTAGCTTCATATTTGCTACCAACTTTAGGCGCTCCTTTCCCTTTCCCTTTATTCCTTCATACTTTTGCTGTGTTTATACTTTTTATGTTGTTTAGGTAAAGTATCTTTGCCTTTTCGCCATTTTTTTAATTTTCATAAGTTTTGGTTCAATTCACACCAACATATTAAAAAGAAACAAAACAAAATAAATAACACTTATGCGAAGGGTTCTATTTGAAAGGAAATAAGTAGCAGCAAATGTCACAATAGTTGCGCATCTATGCCAAATATCTACGCAAAAATATTCGATTTCTCCTATTCATTTCTTTGATTTCTAAACACAGCAGTTCAAGTTAGAGAGAAAATGGGCTGACAGTTCAAAACCGAAGAGATTTATAGTCCTACTTTCACTTGTTATTCGGAACAGTCAAACCATTTTTTAATGTTTGCCATCATAATGAAAATAATATCAAAGTGACGATGCTTGCATTTTGAGTGTCAAAAAGTGAAGGCAAACTGTTAAGCGGAATTATATGGTTAAAACTTGAAGAAAGTTATTTAGTCTTCAAAAGGTGAATATTCCTTAAGTTACATGGAAAGGCAGCAGTTTGAATATGTAGGCTAATGTAACACATTTCTACTCAAAGTGTTATCTAGAGGTGGCTGTCCGGAAGAGGAGGCCGCAGGCCGCAGGGCACATTTTCAGGATGGCAACAGATTGTGTTACATAGTCAAATAATTTTAAAGCTGCAAGAATTTGAATTAATATTTTTAAAAAGTGCTGCAATTTGTTTTGCAGTCCCAAAATACGTATCTTCTATTTACCTCCCTGGAACGTCCACCTTTCTAGAGTGTGTTGATGTAGGTGCTGATTATATGTATATTTGCAGATCCAAAATTCAGAAAGATGGTTGCAGTCTGCAGATGCTGTGGGGTCACTCATACCCCTGAAAAAGTATTGTTAAAAATCTTGGATTTTGATTCTTTACATACTGCTGTGGAAGTTACATTGAATCTTGCCTAATAAACTGTGTTAAGTTTTCATTTGTTTAATACAAACAGATTTTCATCGATTTTGGGTGCTGCCAGCCATGAGGGGCACTTTTGTCTCAATGGGCCATTTGCATTTGCCTCAAATAGTCAAATGCCCCCTTGGATCTGCCAATGGATACCACTGAACTCTAGGGGGATACCTATGTAATTTGTATGTGATCCACTTCACACTTGCCTATCACCCAACACTTAAGAAGTGGTAGGTGCTATTCATAGCATGTAATGTTAACTTACCTGGTTGGGTTCTTGTCTCAAGTTTGCTGTAAGTGGGAAGGTATATGCCAATCTATTTTTTATATAAGGCATTGCTCCAAAAAGTTGAAGTAAGCAAGAATAAAGCTTACTTTTGCATCAAAGCTGTTTCAGTTTGTAAGCCCCTTAAACAAATAGGTACCTAGCTTGTTTTCATTTTGTTATTCTAAAGAGACAAAGGAACATTTATCTTGTACATTTTGCTTATTGAAATTAGCAAATGGGCAGTTGGCAGCTTGTAAGCTAATGTTGGCCCTTAGTTATGTACTTTATAGGAGTTTTGTTAACCTATATGGAACATTGCCAAATCAAAACATATACATATTCTGCCATATTTTATAGCTCTGATCGTCTTTCAGTGTCCCTCATCACAGCCTCCCTTTTGATGAATCTGCTTTTGCGCTTAGTGTACATGCATGGAAAGCTTATTTGTCAAATTGTTATGCTTGGTCAATTTATTTAGTTTACCTCATATGCTAATGCATTGCCTCCATGGGATGCTGTGTTTCTGCTCATGTCAGCTGCGTTTTCGTGTTTGCCCCCTTTGTCATTGTTGACGAGAGCTGCAGCTTCTGTTCCAGCAGGTAATGTGAGCCGCTGTCCCACCCCGGAGCACTGAACCAGTCGCCACAGTCACCACAGGGACAGGGTACCCTTTGTTCCAGCAGGTAATGTGAGCCACCGTCCCAGCCCGGAGCACTGAACCGGTTGCCACCATGAGCTCGCTGGAGGCGGAGGCACGCGAAGACCGCGAGCGGGCGGCCATCGTGGCCCGCTACGACCGCGGGCACGCGCCCGGCGCCGCCATCGACGCCTGGGAGGACCCCAAGCTGGAGATCTACCATGTCACCGACCGATACGGCTTCATACAGTACGTGGCATAATGCGGACAAAGGGGAGGGGCTGCGGAACCGGAGACTTTGTGGTGCCCTCCACTGTTTCCACCTGTTGTCTATGACAAATGGTTCGATGACTAACTCGGTTCGAGCAGCTGGTTCATAGTCCGTAACACTTTCGTTTGCTTGTGTACATCTCCCCAGTTGTTGGATGCTGTTCGTTTCCTTCCGGACTGACATGCCTGCTGGTATAGCTGGGTACGGACGAGTGGTCTGTGTCCCGTCCACGTACTCAGCCGTATCTGTCGTGTCCCTCCACAGCGACAGCCGCCTGCCGGACTCGCTGTCCGTTCAGGAGAAGAAGCAGCACGCCCACGAGATGGAGCGTGTCAAAAAGTGGCTGGACATGCTCAAGGACCCGGATTACGAGCGGCGACACGAGCAGAAGTGGGCGTCTCGCATCTACAAGGGCATCCCTCAGCGGGTGCGTGGCCAGGCGTGGCTGCGTTTGCTGCGCGTGGAGCAGCAGCTGCAGCGGCACCCCGGCCTCTACGACAAGCTGCGCCACGAGGCGCGCCTCTGGTCGCCGGACGCGAGACAGATCGACCTGGATGTGAACCGCACATTCCGTGATCACACCATGTTCAGGGAGCGGTACGGCATCAAGCAGCAGGCGCTGTTTCACGTGCTCGGTAAGTACGGCCCGGTCCGCCGACCAGACGGGCGTGGCGACCGAACACGGAAGGAAACCGAATCGTGATCGAGAGATAATTGCAGGAAGGATTTGGAGATACGGTGCCGCACGCCACGAGAGAGGGTTTATCTCACTGATATTTTACCTGGTGGCGTGACAGTAGTTTGGACTCCTATGACGTCATTATTTGGGTGTGCCGTGGTGTCTCCAGATAATTATCTGCAGTGGCTGGACAGTAGTTCTGATCAGTGATCACCGTATGAAGTCATGCTCTGCGGTGTATCCCGGCAGCGGCTCGGTGGTAGTTTCTGGCCACTGTATGACGTCATTAATCGGTTGTGTGCGCTGTGTCTCCGACAGTGGCGTATTCTCTGTACAACTCGGAGTTGGGCTACTGCCAGGGCATGTCTCAGATCGCCGCGCTGCTGCTCATGTTCATGGACGAGGAGCAAGCCTTCTGGGCGCTCTCCGTCCTCATGACGGGCGAACTGTACAGGATGCACGGTGAGCAGCGTCGAGACTAGCTTTGATCCATCGTGTTTTCTTGTAGGTAATGCTTGCTTTGGAACTGTGGTTAGAGTCATTTGAACTATTTTCCTATCAATTTGTCATTGCAAGTTTGGTTTGATTGCGTGGGTGTGTCTGGACAGTGAGTTGGTTTGGTGATTCAAATTTAAACGGTTCCTTAATTTTCCATTTTCAGGCCTCTTTATCCATGGTTTTCCGAAGCTTCTCAGGCTACAGGCACATCATGATAAAATCATGAAGAAGTACCTGCCCAAGCTGAAGAAGCACCTTGACAAGCATGGCATCGACACCAGCATCTACACACTGAAGTGGTTCTTTCAATGTTTCCTAGACAGGGTACGATTTCACCGCATGTTAATCAAGTATTTCGCTGACTTATGGATATCAATATTTTCGCATGCACGTGTTTTTATTTTAGTGCCTGCGTATCAGATGCTGGCAACAATTTTCTCGATACAGTTGGCAGTGGGCTCGTAACTCACTGAATGAGACACAGTTAGTACTTATTTTGACGCACGACTTATCCATGAATCAAGCTTAATCCGTGACCTATCAATCACGCATCTTTCGTGACCTGCACTGGCGCCAAGTGTTTGACCCACTGGTGATCCGCTGTTCCCGGCGTTTGATCCACCCTTTGTCCCACTACATCCAGTGTCTCGGCCCTTCTCACCAGTGCCCGTTGTATGTCCCCTTCTTGGATCGCCCCGTGTCTCTTATTTGTCCCACCGGTGTCGCTTTATGCCCAGTGCTTGAGCCTCCTCTGTCCCTGTGCCCTGTATCCCTCCCTCCCGTGTCGCCCCCTGGCCTGTATCTCTCCTTACCGTGCCCCGTATCTGCCCCTCCCTGTGTCACCAAATACCGTGTAACACTGTTTGTGCCTTGTGGCACCCCGTGCTCGCTCCAGGTGCCGTTTCCACTGGCGCTTCGCCTGTGGGACGCCTACCTGCTCGAGGGCGAGGTCGTGCTCACCGCCGGAGCCTACATGATTATGAGGATGCACAGGAAGACGCTGCTTCGGCTACCCATGGAGGACATTCTCGACTTTTTGCAGGTGAGATACACGAGATGTGGCGCATTTTAAATGGATTGGATAGTCACTGATGGGGATGGATATTGGATAACGGTATTAGATGGATTGGCGAGGATAAAGGTTTAAAGGGATTGACGCCATGTCTATCACAAAGCATAGTTGGAAGTGAAACATTTGTCATCACTTCCCCCCCCCAAAAAAAACCTTGCTGGATCCGTCGGCTGGCGGTCGGGTACAGTGGTAGCAGCGGAGGTATCGGATTACATTCTGTGTGGTGCCCTATTTGTCCGCCATGTGCGAACGACGCTGCTTGCTATGCAGCATTGGACTCAATTGATGGATATTAATGCGCATGTGCACCCCACATACGTGCAGAGTTGTGCTGCAAAGTCTGCAGTGTGCAATTTGGAACCGGCTGCTGCACCAAGTCGCTGTTATATAGATGCTGACGTGTCCCCTGCCCGGCTCGGACAGGCGCGGCTGCCGCGGGATTTCCTCTACGACGAGGACACTGCCATTCACGAGCTGACGCGGTGTATGTCCGAGCTGCGGTCCGGCAAACTGGACCGCGCGGGCCAGCCGACGGACGTGGAGCTACCGCGGAGACCGCTGGGCCTGCCGCCGCGGCCCGCCCGCGCCGCCCCCGCCCCCGCCACCGCCAACGCTGTGCCGCTGGCCGACGCCGACTCAGACTCTTCGCCGACAGCGGACCAGGCGTCACCACCGCCGGCGACCCGGGTATCCATCCGGAGCCGGCCCTCGTCCCCGACCGCCCCGGCGACACCGGTGGGCGTTATCCCGGCGCCGGTGCCGCCACCGTCCCCGCCCCCGGCCTCCCCGCCGCCCCTGCTGCGCTCGGACGGCGCTAACGGAGTGGTACGCCCGGCCGACCCGCTGCCCTGGAGCACGGACGGCATGTACCGACGGGCCGAGGCCGAGCAGCGGGCACGGCGGACCGCCGGCAGCGCGCGGCACAAGTCAGCCGAGGCCGGCGCCGGAGACGGCTGGGCGGCCTCCGTGGAGAGGCGGCGGCGCTCCGAGGGTCGGCACAGCGGCGGCGGAGACGGAGGCGATAGGCGAGGTGAGTCGCAGCGGGCTGTGTGAACGTCGGTTGATACTCCACAGTGTGTTTGTTTCGTGTCAGTAGTTAGACTGGTGTTGAAAGTGGAGTGCTATTGTGGTGTGAGGTGGTGGGACAGACCGTTCAGAGTAAGTCTGCGAGGGCACGATCTCAGAGCCGTCTCGGAAGAAGCCGATGTGCCAGCCAGTGCAACCTACCTCGGCTTGGCACTCGGTGACGGGTTTCACTGGCGTATTTAGCAAAGGATGTTGATAGGTGGCAACTTCTGGTTATGCCTGCACTTGAGAGTCAACCTGGTTCACTTGTATGCTAGTTTTGTGCCATGAGTTTGCCTGTTAATAACTTAGGCACGGAAATGTGATGCGTCATGCATATTGTACATGTTTTATGTATAGCAGCCACGCACACCTAAGTTTTGCGGCATGTGGTCTGAATCATCTGGTGTCGAAATGCCCGTGTAACTAGTACTTAATCGCATGTTTCTACTACAGCAGCGATGTATGCGGAAAAGATCTCACAAACAGACCTCCCGTAGGGCTAGGTGAGTTCGGCTGTGAGGTGGGTTTGTCTCGATGGAGTCCTATTTGTCATATCTGGCTTGTCTGGGCGTCAGTGTCTTATTGTGTTGGTGTGGGTAGTGGTTGCGGTGTTTTGCCGCTGGTTCGTCTTGGTTTTGGTGGTTCGTTCTCCGCTTCCCATAGAGTAGCACACGTGTGCTGTGAGGGTTATTGGTTCTCCTGTTTGGATGGTAGGACAGGTCCGTTCAGGAAGTATGAGTTCAGTGAAGGAGCGGGCTGTGCAGTGGATCCCTCGCCTCTCTGCCGGTTGTGGCGCTGTGTCTGTCCCCTCCGACCGCGTGTGACCCTCTCACGCGCTCTGACTATCGCCTGTCCTCTGACCGCGCCGCGGCGCTCCGCCAGTGCGGCCGGGCACCTGGTACCGCCAGGACTCGTCCATTTCGTACCGGTACAGTGACCCCACCACACTGGCGTGCTACCACTACCAGAGCAGCAGCAGCCGGGGCAGCGGGCCGCCGCCGGGCCGGCGCGCGCCACCGGCCTCTCCGCTCGGTACTGAGCCGCCGCGGCCGCGCGCCGCCGCCGCCTCCTCCGCCCACGTGCGTGCCCGGCTGTCTGTGTGTCTGTGTGCGTGCCGTGCCGCGCTTCCCTGCCCTGTGCCAGCCGCCGTCCGTCTGTGGCTTACCCCGATCAGCCCGTGTGCCGCTCCGTTACAGTGGTTTGTGCTTTTACAGCTCGGAACCAGTGAGCATGAGACTGACGGAATTTTTGGTTGGTGGCTTTTGTTTTTTCCCATACCCTGACCATACGCTGTTTTGTGGAGATCGCAGCATGGTAGTGTTTTGTCCGTGCCTGCTCGACCTGTGATGATTGCCAGCTTCGGAAGTGCATTCACTCCATTCGTTGGTCAATCGAGTTGCAAGAGGGTTCGCCTACATGATTCTTTTAGATGGCCAGACTGCACAGTGCACATACCTATTTTGTTAAATATTCCGGTTTCGTTTGGCTTGTACGCGTGTGGTCATTTTATTTTGTTGTACTTGACTGCTGTTTTCTTCTCATAGCGCGCTTATTTTGAATCGCTATTCAGCCAACCTCGTCCGCTACGCACAGTACCAATTTTACCATGTACTTCATCAATCTAAAAAGTTGCTTCATTTATTACGGTTTCAACTACGTAACAGAATGTGACATGTTCTTTGTTCAGCGGCAGCGGTTGAAGTCAGCTATAATAATACGGTTAGGTAACATTCCGGATGGAATCCGCGCGAGTGAACTAGGCCGTTTCGGCAACATTTTCTCTGGCGAGCAGCCAGTAAAACTCAACCCGCATAGCTATCTATAGATGCCTCGCGTCTACGTGAGATAATGCGAAGCTCTGTTCACTGTGTTTGTTGCAACACTGCAGGCGCCCTGTCCCTGCAGCGCTCCCCACTCTGTGTGTCCGTCCTGACTCTCTCCCGGCGTCCCACAGGCGCGGCTCATGCGCGTCACGCCGGTGTAGACTCGGTCTGGACGCCGGTGACGCCGGCCTCCAACGGACTGCGCCGGCCCGGCCACCTGAGCCTGACCCAGCTGAGCGGCGACGAGCCGGGCAGTCCGCCCACCTCGCCGCCGGGCACCGTCTCCATCTACGTGTCCGGGTCCGGCGGCTCCGGCCGCCGCTCGCCGTCGGGTTCACTGGGCAGCTCGTCACGCCTCTCCCTGCGCTGGTCGGGCTCGTCGGTCACCAGCTCGCTGGAGCGCTCCGGGCCGCGCAGTCGGGTGTCGGTGTCGCCGGCCGGCGCGACTCTGGTCACCATCGGGCCGGCCGGGACGGACAGTCCGCCGCCGGCGCGTCGTGTCCGTCGCGTGCCCATCCTTCTAGAGGCGTCCGGCGTGGAGCTGAGATAGGTCGGCCGGCCGGCCGGCGCGCCCGTCTCTGTGATACGCCGCGGCAGGTGTCAGAGCGTCCACCACCGGCGTGGGACCCACCGCGCCGCGTGCAGGGCGCCCTGGACAGCAGGGCTCGTCTGAGTACAAAGTGATATTAGCGTTACCGCCCCGGGCGTGTGAGGACATCTGTGATGTCGGCTGGGAAGCGTGGTTGTGTGTCAGGATCGCAGAGTGGAGTGGGTGGCAGTGCCCGCCGTTTATGAACGGGCCAGTGGCCTGCCGTCGATGAACGGGCTAGTGTCTGTTGTTTCTGCTGCGTCCGCGACCGTCGGACACAATTGGTGGTCAGTTGTCGCTCAAGACTCTCATCGGTACCGGTGACATTGTTTTCAGGGCTATATTTGATTATCTGTGTGCTTTTCGCATCGTTTTCCGCTTGTGCACTTTCCATATTCCGTCATGAGGTCTCAAATGAGTGTATCCTTATCCATAATAATCATACTACCAAGCTCGTATTTATTGATCCATATATCCTGTTATTGCTTGCCCGCTCTGTCCTGACGGCTGTGCCGTCCTGTACCGCGTGTCTCGCGCTCTGTTGTCGGCCGGACCGCCGTCAGACCCTAGCGTCATCTGGCGCCGCCGCGGCAGACCGTCGGGACCACCCTACGGAGGTCCGGTCTGGGCCCGTGGCGCCACCTCTGCGGCCGCCCGTCCTGTTATCACCGGCTCTGGGAGCCGTGCCGTGTGGGCAACCCCTTCCTCCTGTAATCGCTCAGTGAACAAAGGGTGCGTTATGTTCGCAGCAGCTGACAGTCATGGCGGACATGCAGCTTATTATTGGGTGAAATTAGTCAGTTGCGTCGATGAATTACGCACAATGATTATCGAGACATGTTATTTTTGTATATTATTTTATAGAGCGACCTGCGCGGATATCCATCGGTTGGCCGGACACCTGGTGGCCCAGCATGCCATTGACACTCGCGTTATGTGTCATTATAATGCAATCAATATAAATGTTCCTGCGAAGCTTTACTTCACGTAAATGTTTCATGGTAACGGCACGTGTTGACGCGATTATGAAGAATGAAGGGATGGGGAACGTGATGGTTTCATTGCTTTCGCCACCGACACCGATAGTCCCGTTTATCTACATCGTGAAAGATAGCATGTGTCCAGCCGCATTTCAGCTTGTGGCAGCCAAAACCTTCACTGCTCGCACTGAACCACAGAAAGCCATCGAGTCCGGTTCGTCGCGATATATTGACATTACACTCACAGTACACACTGGTCGCTGGTCTGCCACGCTGCGCCTACCCAACGCCCGACCCACACGCCGTTACCCGGTCTCACTTGATGTTCATCTTCTTCAGGTCGGGGGTGGTGTTTAGTACCACCAGGCCAGACTGGTACGCCTGGGAACACAGACAACCACGCCGTCAGCTTCAATGGCAATTAGAAACGACAGACCGGGCCGTGTTGATTGCCATAGGCGATCCACTATAATGAAATGTTTCCACAAATCTGACCAGCGAAACCACATACGAAAATAACGTGTTATTCTCCGTTCTCGTGATCTCAAGTGAATGAAATGATCTACAATGTTCCTTTGAAACCATTGAGACCTTTTCGCACATTTTTTTAAGTACCTTAAACCATTCAGCTCTGAACGAGCCTGACAGAACCGTCATTCTACCGGACAGTCATAAATTTGACTGAACTCGGCTGTCACTCACCGCGAAAAGCGTGCCGCCGAAGGTTGCGACTCCGAGCATAAGCATGGTGTTGTAGTTCTTCTGCTTGGCGTTGTAGGCCTCCTGCCAGGAGCCCTTGGGCACCGGCAGGTCGTTCATGGTGATGGGCTTGTATGCCTCGCCGCCTCCATACCGGCGCACGAGCGGCCGCACTGCGGGACACAAACGGGGGAACCTGAGATAAAGTGGTCGGGTAGGCAAAGTCTAAACACACGCGCGCCATTTGTCAGGCCCATAGACATTCTACACGTCAACACGCGTATGGTACTTACCCATGGTCAGAACTGTATTTGTTTCAAAAATACCTACTATGTATCTAACCAGATATGACCTTTCCCATCATAGCCACATAAGACATCACCAAATCATAAGCTGAGATGTAGCATTCACCCTGGCTACCATTCCCAGAGGGTGGGTAGCCGAGGTGTCAGAACCGCTTTCTGAATGGAATACCAGCATGCCATTGACATTACAATGGCAGGAAATGCACACCTGAACTTACATCTCAATTTCAGGTGCTTCATTATCATATTTCTCTTTATCATATGATGTTTCATCATCAGAAAACATCACCTATTGGACATCAGTCATAATTTGTTTTCCAATTGGATTTAGAAATTCATAATAATGATAAAATTAGAGGCAAGTATACACCAGCAAAGTTGTTGATTATTATTTCTTGTCAAGTCATATCATTGTTGGATTTAGTGATCTATCAAGGAAAAGACAAATTGGTGTCATTGGATTTGATTCATTAAAAGGTATGCATCTTTTGCTTTCAAACAAACCTAGAAAAGAATGGATTACTAACAACTTAGTTTCAAAAATTATATCAACTAATTAAAGAACAAAATTTCTTTTTAGTTCCATCACCATATGAAAGTACAGTAACAATATACCTATTTATTACCTACCTACCTACCTCACTCAAATTATTCAAACTGTTAAAAGTATCACAGGTAAACAGGCGAAGGCAAGGTCAGGTGGTGATTCCGTGATACCATTCATGACGAGCACTGCCTAGTGGGGCACCCTGGCCCACAGCCACCCATTTGACCATTCATATGTACTAAACACCTTTGATAAATATTATGCTGCAATACAAAAACTTCAGGGCGTTGACTGATGGTGACATGATGATCATGGAAAATCCATGTAAATTTACAAAAAAACAATACATTTCATAATTAAACAAAGCTCTCAAAGCTTAACAGGATACAGCACATACAAAACAATAAAACTAGCAGCACTACGAAGCACTCCAAAAAATGTTGTGCTTGTAGTAGCACATACCTAAATGTAACTAAATAAAGGTTTTAAAGTTCAACATATAAGAAGGAATGACTTAAAGAACTCCTTTAAAGTTACCTTAATATGATTAAGGTTAATTAATTTGGAAATTCTCTGAAAATAAATACAAAAAAGCAAATTGACGAACCAGGCAATTACATCAGTAACAGACTCATAAAGAACCGACAAACGTATCAATTCAAAGTCAAAACAAACCTGCGGGACGGGCGAGATTCCTGAACGCCGGAGAAATCATATTTTTAATTAATTTTTCACCAAGAGCGCCCGCAAACTTTCAGCACAGCGCAGCGAAGAACGATGTCGACGAAAACGGCTCAGTGGCGAAAAAGTGAAGAAAAAGTGAAGGCATCAGCTGATTTTATTTGATGACGTATAATATAATTTTATACATTTATTTTGGTGTTTAAGGTTTTAAACTATACTCATGAATAGATTTTGTAACAACAAAACACAGTGAAAATACCTAGATATAAAAATATATACATATATTGAAAATACTTATGTAATTGGGCGTCATCCGCACTCATTCAAACATTTTCCTAAAGGCCTTGACCCTTGAATCGGCCTTGACCTTGCGATGCACGTGAGGTCTCTCCAAGATACCAATAAACAACAGTGGTCCCTGGTTTTCGGAGCACGGTCTGGTCTGGAGGTAGGTACCTATATTTTATATACATTGCCTTTACATATAGGCATTTGGGTTCGATTATCGATTCCGAGGACCGAGGCAGCCTTGGCGCGCTCTTATGAAGCTTCATTTCACTTTCGATTTAGGAAGAACGGCGAGCGAGAATGCTTGGTTGACAGTTCAGTTGGGACCAGGGTATGTTGAGTGAAGTTGGGACTTCTTTGTTATGCGGGCTGTATAGTTTTTTTCTGGCTTGTGAATGAATTACTTGGGGTGTTAGCGTTCTGAAGGTGGCCGTCAGTAACATCCCCGTTTTTTTCGCCACCGTCGCACATGCATGATGCATGTTATTGGCCATTACGTTGTAGATGGGCGTGGACCCTGAATCTCCCGGCTGGCGTCCCAGGTAGGTAACAACTAACACCTAACACGCCATTATAGCAGGCATTAGAATCACAACTCAAGCATGAAAAAGCCAAGCCTAAGCCACAACCGAGCTTACCTACTAAATCCCACAGGTGACGACTGACGGTGATACCAGGCCTGGCTAGCTAGCGTAATCCCACGGCGTTGCTGACGAGTTACAATTTCCCACAGCTCTTCTCTTCCTTCATAACCGTCGTTCTGACGATGAGCGGCGATGAAAGCCTCAACTCTGAAGCTGCAATGACTTCGACGAACTCCGGTCCCAAGTACGGTCACGGCTTTTCCGTTATCGTCGGTCTCTCCTCGCCAGTGTCGGTCTCGGTGAGTACCGAGCTACCCATCCTAAGCACTGCGGCCCCAGCGGCAGTGTTGAGGCGGGAGGTGGGGGTGGGGGCGGAGGGGAGCATTGATGGACTCACACCCAACTTATAGTTGGAACTTGGATGACCCCATTTATTACCAGTAAAACCCGTGAAACGCCTTTTGGGCGAAGACGAGCGAGCGAGCGAGTGAGCCCCGCACGTGCAGAAGTGCGAGAGGGTGTTTCCAACTGGCTTTTGCACGGCTGCACCCTACTAACCTGTCTATAGAATTGTACCAAATTTGAGCGCAATCGGTCTACCCATTCTTTAGGTCTGGAAGCGTCACCCTGCACGTGCGCACGTGCAAACTGGGTCCTATCTGACTTATGCACTGCACCCTACTAACCTGTCCCTAATCGCGTACCAAATTTGAGCGCAATAGGCCCAGCCGTTCTGGAGATATGGAAGCGCCCCCGCACGTGCGCACGTGTAGTAGCACCCTAGCTCTAACACATAGGGGTGCATTGTCTAATGGGTGCCTACCTGCATACCCAGTTTCAACGAAATCGCCCCAGTGATTGCCGAGTTATTGTAATGGGAACAAATTTGACACCCCTCTTTTTGCATTTTTTTTTTTTTACGTGCAGTGGGGTCACTCACATGGATCAAGACTCAAGAGTATCCGACCTTTGGTAGAGGGGATGCAGCTACCCTACACAAATTACTGCAAGACAATCGCCTAAGCGGTTGCTTAGATATGGGTCTCCCAAAAGCGCTACTTTTGCAAAACAGCTTGAACTGAACACCCTACCTTGACGGTCACTGAGATGTATCAAAAGTAGTCAATTAACCCTCGCCTGTATGGGGGGGGGGGTCGAACGGACCCCCCCATGGTTTTTCGCGAATAACTCGCGTAAAAAGCGGCCGATCGCGACGAAACTTTCAGTACCCTCGCGTTCATCAATTTAACACCTACCCTGAAAATTTCATGACCCTGACCCAAATGACCTTTGACCTGTGATCTACTTTTCGGGACCATGTTTGGCTGGAATCGCGATTCGGCGTATGTCGGCTCGCATTAGCCGCGCGTTTGCAGTCTTTTCGTGGTTTCAAGCGTTCAAACATGTGATATGATGTTGCCCCCATGCATTAGGGTGGGTGTCAAGGTCACCTGAAGGTCAGGTCAGGTCAGGTCATTGACCTTTGATGACCTCGGTTCACTTTTTCGAGTTTTACATGTTTCTAGGCCAGTTTTTGGAGCTGAATTCGAATTTAGCAACCATATGAACATTTACGAAGTAGTTTTGGTGCCTTCGTAACATGTTACGAAGCTGTCAGAGGCGGTTGCCACCTACTACGAATACCCTTACTGGTTGACCTGACCTGACCTGACCCGACCTGGCCTAAATACATGAAGACATCATCTGTGATCAAAACTAACATGATATTCGTGATCAGCACCCCGAAAAACCCCATAGCAGCCACACTTTACGACGTTCTAACAGGTCCCGATTTTCCCGCCTTTGGGGTCATTGACCTGACCTGCAAGGTCAACCAATGACCTAGGACCTTAAAATTGGGTATCATCGGCTTTCTCTCATCACGGGCAACACGCTCGTTTTTTCCGCGAAGCTCTAGCTCGATCAGGGGCGAAACGGCAAGGGGGGGGGTCCAACGTGACCCCCCCTAGATACGTTCGCGACTGGAAAAACACCAATACGGGCGAGGGTTAACCCTATTCCTGGCGGGGGGGGCCTCAGGAGCCCCCCTGAGGTTTTTTTGGTTATTTCTCCCAAACGCTTTGAGCTAGGAAGCTCAAATTTTCTGACTTTTCCTAAAAGGCTTTTATGCAACATTTCTGAAAATTTTGAGTTGATCTGACCTCAGATCAGGTCACCAGAGGTGGTTTGGTGACCCTACCTCAGAAAAGTTTGCAATCACGCCAGAGCTAGAGTTTTTGACCGATCAATTTCTTCTCTTCAGGCTTTAGTTAGGGTACCAGTATGTGCAATTTGTATATCACAGAATTTTCATATCTGTGACCTGAGGTCAGGCCAGACTCGTGACCTTTACATTGCAAGCCTATGGGAAAATATTGAAACTCCTCCTGCTTCGTGTAAACGAGTCAAAACCACCCAATTCTTTCAGTATTATGGAAGATTATCTCATCGGTGATGATCCTGGTGCCGCTAATTGACAGGGGCACCGGCAAAGGTCATCTGAGGTCATGTGACGTCATAAATCGTTTTTCTGTCAATAAATCACGACATGATGGTGCTAAAGACTTGTAAGTGGCACCAAACTGCTCGCCTGGTCAAGACGCGTCGTTTGGTATGCAGCATGACCATACCCCACAACCTCATTGATGAATGACCTGACCTTGACCTCACGTCAAATTTCAAATTGACCTGTGAAGGTCATCACATACTTATTTCGCATCGCCTCGGCGAGAGCAACAAAAAATGTATTGTTTTATGTCTCTATGTTTCTTAGTTTAAAATTTATATAGGTAACTAATTCCAAAACATTTTATCGTTGATGACCTCTGGTGACCTCAATATTGACCTGACCTGAAAATGTTTTATGTAAACGTTGTAGATCTTTAAACGGCCTATCAAACGCCGTTCGCCGTTTGTCGCTGCGATGTGTAGTTTTTTAGATCTGAAGGGGGGGTTCGAATCGGCCCCCCCCCCCGCCAGTTTCTTGTCCCGGTGGAGCCCGCCAGGAATAGGGTTAAAGGGTAGAAGAGATGGGGCTACCCAACAAAAAAGACCGCAGCGTTACAGCCTCTCAAAAGCGCTAGAAGCCGGGCCGTGCCGCGCATACTGAAAGCTTTCCGTAATATTGAAAATACGTCGCTTCGCTCGCTACGCTCACTCGCTCGTAACCATGCAGTTCCTAGGTGAAATATAAAAGAAATGATATTCAAAGGGAGTCATAGATTTAACCCTCGACTGTGTCCAGCGTTTTCCAGTGTCTAACGTGTTGGGAGGGGGGGGGGTCGGTTGGACTCCTTGCCCTTCGACCCCTGATCGAGCTAGAGCTTCGCAGAAAAAACGAGCGTGACGAGAGGAAGTGGATGATACAAAATTTAAGGTCCTAGGTCATTGCAATCAAATGACGAAGCACTCTGGTGAACAGCATTATATGTAATATATTTAATGGAATAACCTTCTGTTCAAAATTCTAAAAATTGCCAAAAGTTACCAAAAACACTTGAATATATTTCGGAGGCGTTCCTTCATCGGTTCAAGTGATAAACATTTATAGCGCCACATTTGCCGTTAACATATCTGATCCATGTTTTGTAAATATAAATCTCGCGTCTAGGTTGAGATGTGTCGTCTAATTTACATCGACAGAATTACCTTTACAGCGTACGAACAAAATTAGCTCCTACACTTAACAGGTTAATAGGTCATAATGTTGATACTATTCACACTTACAATGTTAATAGGTTACAATATAGGGGGAGAGAAAGCGGGCAGGGATGAGGGGGGGGGGGGGGGAATTCTAGGCAGGTCACATCAGTACTATGCCTACCAAAAGTAAACACCGCTGCCTGACAGGATAAATAAGTATGCAAACGAATGAATGACTTGAATGAATGCACGAATGAATGAAGTATGAAAGAGAGGGGCATAAGCATATTATAGGTGAGCAGTCGAATAAGAGAGATAAGAGAGAGATAAGAGAGATAAGAGAGAAAACTAGAATTCTCCCCCCCCCCTCATCCCTGCCCGCTTTCTCTCCCCCTATATTGTCCTAGGTCATTGGTTGAAATTCCAGGTCAATGTCAGTCAATAACCCAAAAGTTGGAAAAATCGGGACCAGCTAGAATCTCGTAAAGTGAAGCTGTTACAGGGTTTTTCGGGATGCTGATCATGACTTTAATGTCAGTATTGATCACAGATGATGTCTTCACTCTTCATGCATTTAGGCCAGGTCGGGTCAGGTCAGGTCAGTTCAGTTAGAAGGCGT